GAACCGCTGTGTTCATCTGATAAAAGCAAAATAGGAAATGTGACCAAAATGAAGACGTGTACTATGCAAGGAATACAAACAGACACTTTTATTACTGGTTTAAGTATTAGTCTATACACAGAAAATTTATTTAGGAGCCTGTTTTAACGAACTATACACTCAACTGAACTATACACACTCAAAATTAGCATGCACTCTTGACAGAGCATAGCTGAAAAGCTTTCAAGATGTAAAGTGCCTCCAAATCGGTTGGCACTATTTTGAAACTGCACTCAGGGGTAGTAGGAAACAGCCCCCTCCATCCAAACTACACACCACCCCAAGCACTGAGGAGTTAAGTTACTACTCTTACCTTACTAATGAATGTTGGTTTTAATTGGGCAGTAGCGTAACAGGGGTTAAAATACCTACTGAGTGTTCTCTGTTGGATGAGAAAAAGAGGGGGAAAAAAGTCAATTTAGTACATTCAATTTGATATACTTCTTCACACAACACAGAAAAGTCTACTGTAGCACTAAAGAATTATACTGCTACCACTCTTATTTACTACACATCAAACACAAGAAAAAAGTAAAAATAAATTTTGTATGATTTATTACACATTAGACACAGGAAAAAATCAGTAGCTCTGACTCATCTTTATGAAACCTATTTCATGAAATATTGTTCTGCTTCCAAATCTGTCTGGTGAAAGAACAACCACAGCACTACATCTTAGGTTAACCACCCAAGTTTTGAGCCACCACCAAGTCTCAAGATTAAAATCTTTTGGTTACAACTTTGTTGAAGGCTTACCAACTTTTTTATATTTGTCAAAATCCAAAAGATTTAATAAAAATACAGTGACTACATATTTACACAATTCTGTTTAATGCTATACACTTACCGGTGGAGAAAGAGTTTTGTATCGCACATAAAAAACAGCAGCAATGAGCGCTACATCCCTCAGAATAATCATGGAAGTAAGGGGAACTGAAAAACCAAGCCAACAGGATCTAGTGAAAAATCACGTGCGTGATTAAAACAAAAAAGAGCACAAAATACAAAGCAAGAGACAACCACTCTCAAATTCTTCCAAACAAGTTTTATGTGTGACTGAAGATTTTTACTGTGACTTCTGAAAGGTTTTAATCTGAAGTCTTAAAACAATCCAGTCCATGAAAGAATTTTTGACATAGCTACTCACTATTACTGCTTTAAAGAAATACATTTTAAAATGACAGTATATACTAGTTGGTCTTGTATATGGCAGCACCTGCTTTCTGTGAGGTCAAGTGTGAGGTGTGTTTTTTAACTATTTGATAGAAGCAAATGACAAAGTGTAACTGACAAAGCAAAAGTTCCAAGCCATAGTTTTCCTATCAGACACACTACATGTATTATCAGCTTCTTTACCTCATACAGTACATGCAAGTGACATTTTCTCACCTGGAATAAGATTTGTACAAGTCAGGCTTACGTAGAGCACACTGATGAGAATTTTATCAGCCAGAGGATCAAGAGCACTTCCCAAAGCTGATTTCTGATTAGCCCAGTTCCGTGCAATAAATCCATCCAACTGGGAAAAACAAAGTTCAATGTTTCTGTTAGAAAACTAAGAAAAAATAGCTTATACAGACTATATACAGAGGTATTTTATGAACAACTTCACACAATAAAGCTAGTTTAAAATTAAATACCCTTTAGCTGCTATTTCATGCTTTTTTTCACATAGCATTGCAGATTCTGGAAGCCTCTGAGCATATTCAATTCTGATTATTAAGTAATATTTTTTAAAAGGAAAAAAAGGAAAAGAGAGTGACTGATGTTCTAAAATTCACACAATTATTGTCATGATGGGTGGACCTGGGACACCTGCACGTAGTAACAGACCACCAATGCGTAACCACTGACTGAAGAATGCCCACCTGGGGCTGGGTCAGGGAACACTGATATTCATTCCCCTTGCTCCAGCAGCACTAAGTCCCCTTCGGGCACCTCCGAGCTCCCTTCACAATGTTGCCAAGGACATACGTAGCATTTCTAGAAAACAACTAATATAAAAACTATTTGTATGATTCATTTCCACTCTACCCTGGAATCCGAATTTCAATGCATGCCAATTGGATCACCATAACCCACCGCTATCCCCGCTGTACTTCCAAACCGATACACACATACCAAATCCGTCACACCAGCCAAAACGAAGACACCCAGTGCAACATTGAAGTTTTCTTCAACGATCAAATAGCCCAAAACTGGCGCCAAACCCATTCTTGCCATTGACAGTATGTTTGGGATGGTCCAGGGGTTTTCATACTGTAAAGCGAGAAAGCAAAACCGTCATGCCAGGAAGGCAAATCCCGACTTGGCACGTAACAGGATTAATCAAGACAAACACACGCTTTAAGTTAAACCGGCCTTTGTAAGCTCCTGAAAGC